TTTATTGATTTACACTTCAGCCTTCGACATAATATTGTTTCGTTGTTATTTGACAATTATGAAATATGGGATGACAGGGAATCAAGGGGTAATGTTATTTTCTTTTCTTCTGGTAACGAAATTTCGCTGTGTCTGAATGTAGAAAAAAATCTTACTAATTGACAGAATTACGTACTTTATGATTTTGAGTAGGATTTATGGAAAGATTGAGAGAAAGTTGCTAAAATTATGCTGCAAAGTATTCTTTCTATTGAGAATATCATATTATATGGATATTATAAAACGTAAGTCACACCATTCGGACGTTCAGAAGTTTTAAAAGTTTTGTTGAGTTGCTTATTCAATTTACTCTGCTTATTTCCGTATATATATTCTTTGCTATAGTCGTTGAATTGACATTACTGAGTGTGATATTATATCTCACATGACCCAAAATAACGATTATCTGAGAATGACAAACCTTCAAAGTATTGGACTAGTTATCAACCGATTTCATGCCTATAAATAGATCTTGTCTGTAACGGCTTTAAGTTGCCATCTGCAGAGTGACATTATCTGCTTTCTTCTGAACAAAGGTGTACGAGCGGCACACTTCATTATTCCAGTGTCATATGAAGTAGAAAGATTTATCGAAGGACATTACATTCCGTTGTGTGTTTAAAGCGCGTGTTTCTCTGCTTGAAGTCATCAGTCTGTTTTCAGGGTGACTGAGTGAGACGCGTGAGGCAGTTGTTCAATACCATAATTAACTGTATTATAAACCTATAACATGTAACAATTCGACTATAATATTAGTATTATTTCTTTTTTAGTGTTGATACTAAAGTTATTAGTCAGTTGCAATGCATGGTATCTTGAGAATTATGATAGATACCTGGAGATATATTATATCCCATTTTGAAAAAAAAAATTGCGTTTTTCGGAAATTAGATCTGAAGTCGCTATAGATTATGGTGCGTTCGGAACTGCTCGTCTATCTCGTCCAGACCAGTTGGACGAGATGTTTTGACCGTTCGGAACCTCACTATCTCGTCCCGGGCAAGTAGTCTAGCTCGTCCAACTCGCCCTCCTGCGAAGGTGGCCGAGCAGGACGAGATGACGTCACAATAGATTTTGTATGTAAACATTGACAGTTGCAGGTAACCACGATATTTGTGGGTAATTTTATGACCCTTTATTGGTGTTATCAAAGGATATTTTTGTGTTTGTCAGTTGCAGGTAAGTTAAATATGCATCAAAGGAGTTACAAAACCTATGCAGCGTGTAAAATAAAGACACCGGTATGATAAAAAAGTGAATGTTTACATTCGAGCCGGTTGCATTCTGGGCAGAAAGGGTCTTGGAGGTTCCGAACGCGGCCCACTTGTCCTGCTGGTCCTGGACAAGATGTCTGGACGAGCAAGACGAGCAGTTCCGAACGCAGCATTAAAGGACCATTGCGTTTGGCAGTACGTTACATTTGCTATTAAAAACCTCCATGGGCGAGAAAGGATGCAAATATGCTATTATATATGTGCACGTAGTCCTTCTGACTGAAAATATCTCGAGGATGAGCTACAGGATGAGAGAAACAAGAAATTTTTACATTTTGAATATTTCGTCTTTCCTATGTTTACATTGAGGGAAAGATGAATTTCCTTTTTTTACGATTGAACATATTAATACATATTTTCTTTATTCCTGATCCTAGAGTGCATGTCAATCTTGCAACAATAATCATAAATTAAGTGTATCTACGCTGTATTTAAATGCATTCCTCAATAAATGTATTTATCACGGTCAAATACATCTCTTGTATTATGAAGATATTCGTTCACATTCATATCTTTTCTATATCAATCTACGTACAAAACTCCCTCCCCAACCGAACACCAACGCGACGAAAAAACAAACAAAAAAAACAAACCTAAGCCCTCTCACTCCCTCCTTCACGGCCTCCGACAGACAACGGCCCCTGCCTCGGCTGGAGAGAAGGCCCCGGCAAACCGTACCAATGGCTGCACTACAACGAGGCACTCCTTCGGGCCAAGAACTTCGGCGCGGGTCTCGTCGCCAGCGGCCTGCCTTCGGGACCCGAGACCTTCGTCGGTATCTACTCCCAGAACTGCCCCGAGTGGATCCTGACTGAACAGGGACTCTACTGCCAGTCCATGGTGATCGTCCCGCTGTACGACACGTTGGGACCCGAGGCCTGCAACTTCATCATCAACCAAGGTGGGGGAGTGGTCGCCGTTTGCTGTTTTTGTTTATTTATTGTGTTTGTTTGTTCAATTGATATACGATGGTGTAATGAGACTTTGTTTTGGTTGTTCTTTCGACTTTTTTATGGATATGCGATAATGCAATACTTTTTTATGGTTGTTTTTCTCTATTTGTTGATTTTTTATGGATTTACGATGATGGTAATGAGACTTTTTATGGTTGCTTTTCCCTATTTGCTTTTTTATTTATTGATATATAATAAGAGAATATTTTTTCCTAGGTGTTTTTCATTGCAGTTTATATCTATTTATTCATGTATGTATATATATATATATCCGTTTGATAACATATTTCTTTCTTTCTTTATTTATTTATGTTAATAAATAGATAAACCTACAACATTGTTTTGTCCTCTGTCAGTATTTGGTTTAAATGTGTTTTAGAAATCTTCGAAAATGAAAGCCATAAAAAAAACTCGTTGGAAAAGTACAAAACGAATAATCTAGAGTTCTAGACATCATTCGAACTTTTCCAATTTGAAATAAAGAATAAAAGAGAATAGTAATAATAATAGTAATAATAATAATGATAAAGAATAAGAGTAATAATGATAATGGTGATGATGAAGATATTATTAATAATGATAATACTTGATATTGATAATGATATTAATAACAATAATTATCATTATTCCCATTCTAAAACAAATAATACGATAACAACAACGACCCATTCCAAAACCCGGAAACCCAAAAAAAATCTTGACCTGACCTGACCTTCCACCCCTTCTTCTCTCTCTCTCTCTCCCACAGCCTCCATCACGACCGTAGTTTGCCAAGACGACCGCAAGATGAGCCAGCTCCTCCAAGCGCCTCCCAAATGCCTCAAGATGCTCGTGGCCATGAAGGACGTGACCACAGAGACCGCCGAGAGAGCCAAGAAGCTCGGGATCACCATCAAGTTCTTCGAGCAGATAGAGAGCCTCGGGGCAGCCAGCGACATACCCGAGTTGGTAGGTGGCGGGGGGGGGGGAGGGAGGTGGAGGGAGGAGGAGGACGGGGGGGAGGGAGGAGGAGGGGAGGGAGGGGATGGAGGAGGAGGAGGGATAGGGAGGGAGGGATGGAGGAGGGGGAGGGGAGGGGAGGGATGGAGGTAGAGGAGGAGGGATAGGGAGGGAGGGAGGAGGGATGGGGAGGAGAGGGAGGGGAGGGAGGAGGATGGAGGTAGGGAGAGGGATAGGGAGGGAGGGGGAAGGGTGGAGAGAGGGAGGAAGGGAGGGAGGAGGGGAAGGGGGAGGGATGGATGAGGGAGGGAGGAGGAGGAGGAGGGGAGGAGGGGGAGGGAAGAGGGATTTTGGAGGAGGAGGAGGAGGGAGGGAGGAATAGGGAAGTGGAGGACGAGAAGAAAAGGAGGAGGAGGAAGAGGGGATGATGATAATGATAATGATGATAGAAGGAAAAAGAAGAGGAAGAGGGACAGGGGTAATGGGGGAGGAAGGAAAGGCTCTTGGATCAGAGGATGATTGACGATTTATGATTTTTGACAGAATAATTAATAAATCATGATTAGCGACAAGGGGCAGAAATAGGGATAGTCTATAAGGATCACAATTCCGTGGCATGTTAGTGATCCCATTATTTCGTAAGATATAGTGAAAAAATGATTACATGACACGTTCGCAAGTATACATTTTTTAAAGATTCTTGCTAAGAAATATGAATGTGTTGGGTTTGTAGTTGTAGGAATCATAAAACATATATTATACATACATATATAATATATATATATATATATATATATATATATATATATATATATATGTATATATAATGTATATAATATTATATATAATATATATATATATATATATATATATATATATATATATATATATATATATATATATATATATATATGTATGTAAATACAATATATATATATATATTATATATATTTATATATATATATATATATATATATATATATATATATATATATATATATATGTATATTATATACTCTAGTACTATAAACAATGCTAGAGGTAACAGCAATAACACTAGTGGTAAATATGATAATGATGATGATAGCAGTATTAATGATAAAAATAAATCAATGTTGCGAAAATGCTGGTAACAGTAGTGTCAACATCAATTCCTAGTTCGTGTTTCCAATATAATCAATACTTTAATTACAGCTTTCCTGTTTCGACTACCGACGATCTAGCTGTAAAAGTAATCTCTGAATAATAGTAGTAGTTATCAACACACGTGGATAACTATTTTTTTTTTTTTTTTACTTTCTTTTCCCCTCTTCTCACCAGAAGTCAATCCGTATAATAACTTTTCCATTTCCCGGCAGCCACCACAACCGGACGATCTCTGCACGATCTGTTATACGTCTGGCACCACCGGCCATCCCAAGGGAGTAATGCTGTCTCACGAAAACGTTGTTGCAGACGTGTCGGCCACGCTTTTGCAACTTGCAGAACACAAACCACATAAGGTAGATCTTTATGAGCGCATCTTAAGAAATATTTTAAGAATCAAATAAATATCATTATGACATTTTGATATTTTTGAAAAATGCTCATTGGGATATGTTCTAAGAATTGTTTTACATTTTCATTATGCTCATATGTTTTTTGGTGCAATTTATTCTAATCAATTCATGGATATTGTCAGTATTGAAATGTCATAAGTATTATTTGTTTTGATTGATATATCAGTATTAAATTTTATTTTTATTTTTATTTTATTTTTTTGGCAAAACTTATTTAATCAGTTAATGTGAATATACCCCTCTTTAGAGTATGTATTTGGGTTTAGCTGTGTTACTCTCATGTTTCTCGGTCTGTCTGTCTGTCTCTGTTGTCTCTGTGTTTTTCTGTCTCTGTCTGTCTGTCTCTTTCTCGCTGTATATCAATTTTGACAACTAAACCAACCAAACCACAGTCTGCACATCCTCACCCTCTCTCTCCCTCCTCTTTCTCATAAGTCCTTCTTCTTGTTTATTTTGCACCGTATCTTTCAACGAAATAAATTATTCGAGATTTCAGTTTTCAATTTCCTCTTCCTCTTTCTCTTCCTCTTCCTCTTCTTCTTCCTCTTCCTCCTCCTCCTACTTCTTCTCATAAGACTAGGCGTCCTCTTGCTCTCTTGTACTGTAGGACTTTCAACTCAATAGGATATTCCAAATCTCAGTCGCAGTTTCCGTTTCATCTCCTCCCTCTCCTTCCTCCCTGACATCCACGTCAGTTTCACTTTCATCTTCTCTCTCTTCTTCTTCCCTGGCAGATCCCCATTATTTCCGTTTCATCTTCTCTCACTTCTCCCTGACAGAGGCCCATCAGTTTCAGTTTCATCTTCTCCCTCTACGCCCTGACAAAGGCCCATCAGTTTCATCTTCCTCCCTCCTCCCCACAGATCCCATCACTTCCGTTCATCTTATCCTGACAGTTTCCGTCTCATCCTCCCTGACATCCCATTATTCATCTTCTCCCTCTCCCTCTCTTATATTCCGCTTCATCTTCTTCCTCTCCCTCTATTTCCGCTTCATCTCCTCCCTCTCCCTCTATTTCCGCTTCATCTCCTCCCTCTCCCTCTATTCTCGCTTTATCTTCGGCCTCTCCCTCTATTTGTGCTTCATCCCTCTCCCTGACAGATCCCCATCATTCCGCTTCATCATCTCCCTCTCCCTCTATTCCCGCTTCATCTCCTCCCTCTCCTATTCCCGCTTCATCTTCTCCCTCTCCCACAATTTCCGCTTCATCTTCTCCCTCTCCCTCTATTTCCGTTTCATCATCTCCCTCTCCTTCTATTCCCGCTTCATCTCCTCCGTCTCCCTCTATTCACGCTTCATCATCTCCCTCTTCTTCCTCCACAGAGCGACGTGATGATCTCGTTCCTGCCTTTGGCCCACATGCTCGAGCGCTGCTGCGAGGTGGCCGTGTACATTGCCGGGGGCGCCGTCGGGTTCTTCTCGGGCGACATCCGCAACCTGGCCGACGACTACAAGGCGCTACGACCCACCATCACCCCGTCGGTCCCTCGGCTGATGAACAGGGTGTACGACAAGGTGACCACGTCGGTTAACGGGTCTTCCTTCAAGAAGCTCATGCTGAAGATGGCCATCGCGAGCAAGAAGTCCGATTTGGAGAGGTGAGAAGACGGAGGGGAGGTCTGTCTCTGTATTTCTTTCTCTCTCTCTCTTTAGGGAGTGGGTCTCTTTTTGAAGGAAGTAGAGAGAGGGAGGGGAGGTGAGGGGGGTCTCTCTCTCTCTCTCTCTCTCTCTCTCTCTCTCTCTCTCTCTCTCTCTCTCTCTCTCTCTCTTCTCTCTCTCTCTCTCTCTTTCTCTCTCTCTCTCTTTCTCTCTCTTTCTCTCTCTCTCTCTCTCTCTCTCTCTCTCTCTCTCTCTCTCTCTCTCTTCTTCTCTCTCTCTCTCTCTCTCTCTCTCTCTCTCTCTCTCTCTCTCCTCTCTTCTCATGTGGGTGGGATGGGACTCCTTTTTCTGAGGAAGTTTTAGAGAGAGAGAGAGAGAGAGAGAGAGAGAGAGAGAGAGAGAGAGAGAGAGAGAGAGAGAGAGAGAGAGAGAGAGAGAGAGAGAATATAAAATTGTCGATAATGACAAAAAGCTAGCAGAGGAATACAAGAAAGAAAGACACACACACACACACACACACACACACACACACACACACACACACACACACACACACACACACACACACACACAACACACACACCCTACACACACACCATCTTCCTCACCACAAAACTCACCCTCCCCCTTTTTTTCTTCTTCTTCAGGGGTGTGGTTAGAAGATCGTCGATCTGGGACAAGCTGGTGTTCAAGAAGGTCCAAGACGGGATGGGGGGACGACTCCGGCTCCTGGTCGTCGGCTCTGCTCCTCTGGCTGGCAACGTCCTCACCTTCATGAGAGTCGCGCTGGGCTGTGTGGTGAGTTGAAGGAGGTGGTTGGGAAGGAAGGGGAGAATTTTAGTTTGTTGTTGGGTGTACGTGTTGGAAATAGGGGGGGGTGGTGGCAGTTCATTGTTTTTTTTTTTTTGTATGTGTTGGAAAATTATTATTATTATTATATGTATACAAGATATTTGTGGACGAGGATGTTTGAAATATACTGAGACGTGTCTAGTACTTTGCATGTTTTGTAAATATTTTGTTATAGTATTTGGTAAAATGACCAAAAGAAAATGTGCATTTTCATATTACCACTTCGACTTCTATGCATATAACCTGGTAAATTCAAAGCACTTCTTCATCAAACTAAATCACTTTGACTCTGACTGAAGGTGTTTGCAACATTCACATGATCAGTTTCAACTCTTATCAGAATTTATATATTTCCTTGTACTTCCACAACCTAATTACAAATACTACATCCTCTCTTTCCAATTCACAGATAGTAGAAGGCTATGGACAGACAGAATGTGGTGCCCCATCAACGCTTACTATCCAAGGAGACTACCGACCCGACCACGTAGGCCCACCAATCGCCTGTAACGCCATTAAACTGGTTGATGTACCCGACATGGATTACTACGCTGCTCAAGGTGTGGAAGGTTTTGGTGGCAGCGGTGGGATACGATGTTGGATGGATATTGTGGATATGCATATTTTTTAATGTTCAAGAATGGATATTTTTATGAATTATCTCCTTACCTATTTGTAGATTTAAAAAGACACATATACAAACAAGTACAAGCAACAACACAAAAGCGAAATACACATACAAATATAACTACACAATCGCCCACTTCTCCAGATAGCACACGCACCATCCAACTATCTATCACCTTTGCCAATATCCTTATTCTTCTTCCTTTATTACAGGACAAGGTGAAGTGTGCATCAAAGGCTCCAACGTATTCAAAGGATACTTCAAGGATCCCGAGAAGACCAAGGAGGCGGTGGATGCTGGAGGATGGCTTCACACAGGAGACATTGGCCAGTGGCTGCCGGTTAGTAGGACTTTTTTGAGAGAGAGGGAGACAGAGAGGGAGAGGGGAGGGAGGAAAAAAGAGACAGATGGAGAGGGGGAAAGAGAAAGAGGGAGGAAAGAGAGGGGAGAGAAAGAGAGTGGGAGAGAAAGAGAGAGGGGGGAGGGAGGAGAGAGAGAGGGAGGGATAGACACGGATATAGATATTAGTAGAGATAGACAGAGAAAGAACGAGAACTCATAATCTGTATATGCTTTTATAATCCTTTACCATCAGTCCATCAGTTACAAATAATCTTATCAAATACCCACAGCATAAACAACAACAATATCCACAAACATCAAGAACCGTTAACCCCCACCCCTCCAATAAAAAGACAACAGTTTATATGCTTATATCTTTCTTTTCATTTTTTTACTTATTTATTTATTCATTTATTTATTTTTAGAGTGGGACGCTGAAGATCATCGACCGTAAGAAACACATCTTCAAGCTGTCCCAGGGTGAGTACATCGCCCCCGAGAAGATCGAAAATATATACGTGAGATCGCAGTATGTCGCGCAGGTGTTCGTCCATGGAGAGAGTTTGAAGGTAATTATTTTTTGAAAAATCTGGTTAATGTTTTTTTCCCACTTTTTCAGATTGATTTGTGTGGTTTCTAGATTAAGATGAACCTGTAGTATTGATGATTTTCATGTAGGTTTATATGTATGTATATATATATATATATATATATATATATATATATATATATATATATATTATATATAGCATATTATACATACATACTTCATCATCTCTTTACAAGTAGAAATCATAATAATGAATAATATAATAAAAACACACAAAAATAATAGATAAATAAAACACCTAATTCACATTCAAATCACACACACACACACACACACACACACACACACACACACACACACACACACACACACACACACACACACACACACACACACCACACACACAACACACACACACACACACACACACACACACACACACACACACACACACACACACACACACACACACACACACACACACACACACACACACACACACACACACACACACCGCACACACCAAAATCCCATATTCCTCACCACCACAATTACTCAACCTTTTCCTTCATTCCCCACAGTCTTGCGTCGTAGCCATCATCGTGCCGGAAGTGGAAGCCGTGAAGAACTGGGCGAGGGAGCAGGAGATCCCGGGCACGCTCTCGGTCCTGTGCGCCAACCCCCACGTGAAACAGCTGATCATGGATGATATCGTGAACCTCGGCAAACAGGCTGGGCTCAAGTCTTTCGAACAGGTGAGTGGTCTTGTTTTTTTTTATCGTCTTTTGGTGATGGATCATCTTTCATCTTTCATCATCTTTCATCTTTCATCTTCATCATCTTTCATCATCTTCCATCATCTCATCATCATCATCTTCATCTTTCATCTTTCATCTTTCATCTTCATCATCTTCATCTTTCATCTTTCATCTTTCATCATCTTTCATTATCTTCATCATCTTCATTTCATCTTTCATCCTTCATCTTCATCTTCATCTTCACATCATCATCTTCATCTTCATCTTCATCTTCGTAATCATCACCATCATCACCATTAATTTAACATTTCGTGCAAACTTCGATGGCGATATTCCTTGAAAAAAATGTTTAGGTGTGTGGAAAATAGGTATGTGGTATTTAAAGAATATTGATTTTGCATAATGTTTATGGAACATTTTGCTCTATTACTTAAAAAAACGTTTAGGTATGTGGAAAACATACTCATAAAATGCAAGACGAAAGAAACAGAAAAGAATTATGATTAATGCTAATGGGAAAATGAAAATAACGTATCAAAATCAAAACGATGTTAAAAGTTCACCAAAATAAGCATATTCACTTTTCATAATAATTAAACATTTATTTGTTTAGCCTACTTTATAGAAGCTCGGATACTCTCATTGAACATCATTACTGGCTATCATTTAAGAAGTAGTAGTAGTAGTAGTAGTAGTAGTAGTAGTAGTAGTAGTAGTAGTAGTAGTAGTAGTAGTAGTAGTAGTAGTAGTAGTAGTAGTAGTAGTAGTAGTAGTAGTAGTAGTAGTAGTCGTAGTAGTAGTAGAAAAACATTGAATTCACAACTGAAACCAAAAAAAAAAAATACTCATTGAACATAACAGTCATAATCATCAGCAGCATGTCATTATCTCCCTCTTTCCTTTTCAGGTGAAGGACATCTACCTCCACCCCGACCTCTTCAGCGTCCAGAACGGCCTCCTCACCCCAACCTTGAAATCGAAGCGACCTCAACTCAAAAAGTATTTCACACCCCAAATCGACGACATGTATGCTAAGCTCGCCTAAAATAAAATTCAAAGACTCAGTATGTGAAAGAGAGTTAGACATATGGTTAAGAGTGTGACTGGGAGGATGAATATATATACGAAAAAAAAGAAGATAAAAACAAGAACGGTGTCTCTTGTACTGGGTGTTCAGTGTGCGTGTATATATGAGTCTGGAACTATTTGACTTGTGCCTCAATATTGTTCTTTCTATCCAAGGGAACTATAGATGACTACTTAATTAGAAGTGAGTTTCGAATGATCCTCTAGATAATTTAGATAACTTGATTGCGTATGACGGCGGCCGACATTGATAAGGATAATATGAAAAAAAGGAATTTAATATCATCTTTATTGTGTCTACATAGACAGCATCACAGTGGTCGTGGTTATATAGCTTGTAATATATACTGTTTTTTGGCACCTTCTCTGTATAATTTGGCTAATGGAGATAGAAATCTTTGTTCCTCAAAAATGCATATGCAGTGAAAGTTTGTAATAAAAAAATATATTAATAGCCAGAAGTGATTCATCTTTTATCTATTAGAGACTGAGGAAAAAATGTTTGATAAAAGATAAAGAAACTTTATTGTGATTTTAAAAATATATCGGTGCATTGTCAGTGCAATTACAGAGGGATTGGATTCCCCTCAGTTTATACTATAGCAAGCATTATTTATAAAGTTGATTTTTGTTTAAGTTTATGATGCGAATGTGCTTATTGGACCTTCATTTCCGATGAATAGATTACTAGGTTTTAGATGTACAGTGCATCTAGTTTTGTATTCATATAACAGAGTTACAAAACAAAACTTGTATATCGTTCAATTTGATAGTTGTAAATTCATATCAATATATCACTCTTTTAATCCTCTCTGTAAAGCAAGCAACTGTCTCGTCAGATATCCAGTAATATTATAAATACTTATGTTATGGTAATGCAAAGTAATGTCTGTTATATATATAAAAAAACAGTATTTCTAGTCAAGTTTTGAACCAGCTGATGGGGCGCAAGGCCTCCGGTGCTCAACTTATGTGGTTGTAATGAAAACGTTTTACTCAAAACGTTCATGATTTTAGGTTTATAGAAGTCTTTGAAAAAAATGTAAGTCTACCATAACAACTCATTTTCTTTTTTATATATATGTGAAGACGTGAATATAACTTCTTTTTTTGTTTGTGTTTAATTTTGGGGGAAGAAATACTCATTGTTGATAATTTTAGTTTGTACTTCTGTATACAATAGTTGTTGCTGGGGTAACTGTGGGAGCAGTAGTGCATTAATATTATTAGGAAAAGGATGGAAAAAGTGCTTTTATTGCCATGCTTTCGTATATTTACAGAATAGAAGTTTACGATTATCACTCTCCTTACATTGCCATTTAGTGCTTAAATATTCACTCTTGCTGTTCATCAGTTGCAATTTTATAATAATTCAGATGTGATTATGTATGGTATATATATATATATATATATATATATATATATATATATATATATATATATATATATATATATATAGATTAAATTCAGTTTCAAGTTTTTTAAAGGGAATGATTATGTTTTGTAATTCTGAGCAATAACAGGGTGATTATTGAAACCTAGTTATTTTTCACCTACAATTAAGAATGTCCGTTTAGTTGTTTACAGCTCGAAGTGGTCATTAAGCCTTCATCATGTCTCAACGAAAGGCTGCATTAATTAATCACGGAAGCGGTTTTAATTCTGCTTTATTGTGAGGAAATCGAGAGACCAAGACTTAGTATTAAAAATGGAGAAAAAAAAATTGTAGAAAGTTATCATTATTTATATTTTTTCGAAAGAGAAAAAAATCCATCCTGTGTGAATACATTCTTCATTATCAGAAGAATGATTCATACATTTAGATATATTATTTGAAAGAAACTGTCATATATGCAATCTTACGTATAAATCCAAAAATTCTCTCTGTCAAACCGTACTTGTTACTGGCCATATCTAACAAAATGAGTACATATTACAAAAAGAAAAAAGAATGTATTAAATATTACCACGCCTGAAGCAGAGCAAATACACTGCATGAAATTAATCTTGTATTTCTTATCCCACTCATACGATTTTGACCAAACATCACGTGATCCTCCAAGAGAAAAATGCATAAATAAATAAACAAATAAGAGAAAAAAGGAGAACAAAACAAAACCAAAAATAGCTCACGTGTTGGTACAAAATTCAGAATCAAAATTACTCACAATTTTGATAACTTTCTCGACCATCAGGCGTGTCTTAACTGTTATCACTGGGTAGCTGCAGGTCCTCAGTCTTCTAAATCATATATTGTGATTTCGCGTGTGACTCCTCACTGGAATTAACTGTGTATCGTAGGTTTCTATGTATACTATGAAATGTTATGGATGTAAATAAAGCACAAAACACTTGATGTTTGTAATTCCCTTGAGAGTATTGTGCACGAAGAGGAGGGAAATAAAGGGAGAGATTTTAGAGTGAAGTTGATAGCGAAAAGGAGGGACTGATTTTGATAAAAATGGGTAAGGAAGTAAATGAAAAAGAGAAAAGACAGACGAGTCCAGAAGTGAAGAATGATAAATAAGGAAGATTTGTTATGGTGATCGTTTAAAAGACTAAGTATCAAAAGGGGTGATGATGAGGAGAAAGAATGGGAGGTTTTCATAATGATTATATTGTAACTGAAAGGGAAAATGACGGAATGTTTTATGATAGAATTTTATAAAGATAGTGGAAATGGGAATAAGAAAGAGAAGTGAGTATACATAGATGATAACGGTATGAAACAAAGACGAGGAAAAAGAGCCTCCTGATAAGATAAAACAAAATCCCGATTAAATGTAGTCTTTAATAACTAATGATGATTGTGACGAGGAAGTCACATACTAGAAAGATGGTGATGAGGAAAAAGGGCTTTATAATAGTGATGATGAAAATTATATGCAAAGGCAGTTTTTTTTACGGTGAAGACGGTAATGAATATAAGTAAGCGGGGAGGGGGAGGGTAAGAACATCTCATAAGTGAAAATGTTATGGAAAGATGTAGCCTTATATAGAATATCAATTCAATTCGACTGTTAGCATTGTGTTTTTTATACACGACAAAGGGTAAAGTAAAACAAACGATAATTTGATAATGTTCTTTATAGGGATAAAAGCTGACATGCTGTTCTCTCACACAAGCCTTTCTCATCCACAAGTTGTCAGTCATTGAAGGTAATAATTATAACACATGCAGACACCTAAGAGTATTGTCTCAATAATTCGGAAAATCTCCGTTTCATGAAATATAAAACACGTAAATTCAGATTTTTTATTAATATTATTATTATTTTTTATTTGTCTTTAACTTAAATTGTTAGCAGTCTGATTGCATAATGTTATAATGAGAAACCTAAATAAAGACAATATTTTTTTTTGCTAAGGCTTTGTCTAACAAAATCTTTTCGTTCACAAACCAAACAGGATAAATCAGAAAGTGATAATCATTAATATTAAGCGCTCTTTCAATTGAGAGCAAAATGACTAGCATGAAAACCACCTACATAAATCTCTCTTTTTCACAACTATAAACATAATAAATAAGACCTCTACATGGACCTATTTTATTTTTCAAAGTCTCAGTACGTAAATCCCTCCTTTTTCTGCTATGGAACATAAACCTATTTTCACAGCTACAGTACAATATATTTTTTTCCTTTTTCACAGCTAATTTTCATAATCTTTCCCTTTTCACATAAACCTTTCCTTCTTCACAGTTACATTATATAAACCCTTGTTTTTCACTGCATAACCCTCCCATTTTTTCTACAGTATACAAATCTCTTTTTTCCCACTGCTACATAAATTTCATTCTTTCAAAGTTAGGCATTAATAACGAAAAAAATAACGACAGAATATGTATAACAGAACACATACTCATTCATTATTGGGGGAATAATCCTACATTGAGTACATTCTACAGCTCATTTAAATGGGTGATTATGAAACAAATCAAACTCTATTGATATAATTTTCTTTGCAGTGATGCTACGTTCATATCATATAATCTATTGACATAATTCTTAAGATAACTACTACCAATAGCATCAATCTAATTGGAAAAAGGATCTATATATGTCAAAAGTGTATATATAGATGGCTATGATTTTAATGGCTTGGAGGTTGAGGATATAGGGAAAAGAGGGGAGGTGTTAAGACTGAGAAACAACAACAATAACAACAACAGCAACAATAACAGATTTCTGCAAATATCTGCCTTTAACCCAGTGTCAGAGTTAAAAACAAATATCTTGAGAGGATGTTGTATCTTGGGTTGGGCGTACTGCTTGCTTACTCTCTGTGGTGAGAAAAGAGATGAGGATTCTATATCAAGAAATAGGTGCTACTGTAGGTGGACTTTTTCTTCCTAGTTTATAAAGGAGGGTTTTTTTTTATTACGGGGGTTATTGGCTTTGTTCCTTGGAGGGTGACACGCTATATACTACAAGGGCATTACAAGGGAATGAGAGGGTTGGGTGGGTTATTTATTTCATCAGGCGAAGGGCATTTAGAATATATGGTTTATATTTCTCTCTCTTATATTCCACTTAAATTCAAATATTGTCTCAAATATCTATATTTCATCCTCCTTCATTACAGTTAAGTGGGAGGGGCAAACGAACAGAAAAAATACGAGAATAAGATCATTAGAACAAATAGATAAATACACTCTCATTAACACATTTTACATTAATATAATTCATGATTTACATCTGGTACTCTGATCCATACCCATTGACTCCGTCCCTCTTTAGCTGCCTCTTCCTAATAGTGTCTGTAGGAGCGTAGTTGGTCTTCCTCAGTAACTGTCTGAAGTTATAAGGACCCACATCTTCCTCCGTTGAAACCTTGCCGGGTCCTACGGGAGCTGGCGGGGGCGGTGCCTTCGCCTTGCCCGAAGCCCCGTTCGAACGAAGCATCTGGCGAAGCTCCGAAGCCGCTTTCATGTTGGTGGTTGGGGTCACGCGCCTGTTGGGGGCGGGGTGGAAGGAGGGAGGTGGGGTGGAAGGAGGTTTGGAAAGGAAGGAGGGAAGGAAAAATAGGAGGGAGGAAAGGAGAAAAGGTGGGAAGGGAGGGAGAGGTGGAAGGAAAGGAAGAGAAAGATGGAGAAATGAGGGAAGGAGGGAAGAAAAGGGGAAAGAGAGGGAGAGTTATTACATTTTAGATTAGAATAACCGAGGTGCCGATTTTGTTACGTACACGAGTATAATGAAGATACACAAAAACACATACTTGAAATCCATGCCTGGAGTATACGACTTCTTTTCCACGCCAGCTTTAGGTCAATGTGCAAATGTTTTATAATAACATGCAGTGCAAAGGACACACACACACACACACACACACACACACACACACACTCACCCCTTAGGCACCATCTCGGGCGGGGGAACGCCAGCGCCGAACGCCACAGCGCCTTTCCACTTGACTAAATGTTCTTCGGATTTCTCCTGGTTTTCCATGTTCTGAGTAACCAGGCCCTCCTTCACCGCCTTCATCTTCTCCTGTCGAAGGTCCACCTTGGCGTCGGTGCCCTCAGCAGCTCTGAGCCAAGAGAAAAAAAGGGCTTATTCGCACCACAAGGAGAGGGCTTATTCGTACAACAGGGAGGAGTTATTCGCACCATCAGAAGGATCATTCACACCATGGAGAGGGGTTATTTGTACTGCAGGGGAAGGAGTTATTCGCACCGTAGGGATGGTTATTCACACCACGGGGAAAGGGTTTATTCACACCACAGGTGGCAAAGGTGTTAATAGCTTATTTACATCTCGGTTAAAGGCGTCATTCACACAAGAAAGGTTATCACCATGGAAACAGGGGCCACGGAGAAAGGGTTATTTGAACCACAGGCAAAGGGATTACTTGCACCACCGGGAAAGGGTTATTCACACTACAGTTGCTCGAATTATAAAAGATAAAACCTTACATGCACCACGGAGAAATAAATTCACACCACGGGGAAGAATATATTCGCGCCACGGAGAAATGGATTATTCGGACCAAAGGAAAAAGGGCTATTCGCACAACGGAGAAAGGGATTATCCGCACAAAGGAGATAAGGGTCATGAACACCACTGCTCTCAATTATCAGGTCGGTAATCAACACAAAGGAAAAGAGCAGTAGGGTTAGGTATGATTTGTTTTATATTGAGGCCGAGTATGCGTTGCTAGTGAGTGAGACTGCGCTATTAGTTTTTTATTGTACTGTAATGTATGTACAGCCACGGTCAAAATTCTTGTCGAACATGTTTCGAATTCCGCTTCGAACATCCGCTGAATACCACACTTTGTGTATAGGGGAAGACATATTCGAAGCTTCAATTCATTAAAAGACTTTTGCCCGTCACTATACAGATTTATGTATTTGTATACTTATCCTCAGTCAGTGTGGATTTTGTCTTTAGCAGCATATGTATAATAACATTTAGGGATCCATAAATTACCTTTTTTAAGGATCCATATACCTTTTTGTGGCGGTAATTCTTTTCCTTAGCGTGTAAGTCAATAGTTCATATATATATATATATATATAATTATATATTATATATATATATATATATATATATATATATATATATATATATTCGTGAGAACACCAGAAGGATCCTCCTATGATAGTCCCATCCGAAGAGGAGTCTCTTTTCATCCGACACAGCAGAGATTTTGATTGCCTTTCCCAGTGTGACTTTTTCATTCGTTTTATTTGCACATGTCTGTCTAATTTTTCACGTTGTACCAATCTATGAAGATATAAATGAACTACGCACTGGTATAGCTAGCTGGAGTATGTATGAAATACATGCATATATGCACACATACATACACACATTCATACATGCACAAACGCACACACACATACACACATATATTTATGTATGTAAGCATGTATGTATGCGTGTGGCTATGTAAGTATAAATATATATAAGTATATCTATATATAAATGATCATAATGCTTGAAAGTAATAATACTGTTTACCGCAATGATACCAATAAAAAAAATCAACCAATAATCCACGAAAAAATAAAACAACAGAACATCGCTAAGCATAAAACCTGAAAAAAACGAAAAAAACAAAAAATAAATAAAAGTAGTGTTTAGCAAGCTAGCCTAAATCAGCTCTAGCCCAGCAACACTGAGTCTAAACATCTGTGCTACTGCGCCAACAACAGCAGACTGACCTCGGCCGGCTTGGTCGTTGGATTTTCGAAGCCAAGGGCGCGTCCCAGGGTGTATCGGGGTTAAAGTCCGGTGTGGGACTACGTGAGAGGAAATCAGGTTAGTTGCGAGGACCTTGCTTTGAGTGTTTCATTTTGTTTTTAGGTTATTGTTAGTAGGGTGTTTGAGAGGTACGATTTTTTTTTGTGTTTTATAATTGTTTGTGGTATGTTGAGAGATAGTGGAGGAACTTTGTTTAAATATTTTTTTCTTTGTATTTTTGTTTTCGTTTGTAGGATGTTAAGAGATAGTGGGAGGAACTTTGTTTAAATATTTTTTTCTTTGTATTTTTGTTTTGTAGGGTGTTGTAATTGTTATAACTGAGTTTATTTTATTCTTAGAATGTTAGTGAGGGGAACTTGGTTTCGATTTTTTAGTTGTAATAGTGTTCATTTGTTTAGTTATGTTGGAATCGTTTGTGTACATTTTTTCTTTGATTTTTTAGGGTGTGGAAGGAATATGCTTTAGATATATTTTTGTCTTTAAGTTGTGCTTGTGTTCTTATTTTTTGAGGATGTTAAGAGATAGTGAGTGGGAAGATAATCTATTTTTAATGTTATTTATTCATAATTATTTTTAAACAGTCAGTGTTAGTATGTATTTGGTATTACAGAAGATAATAGTACGAAGAACTTGATTTAATTCTCTAAATATTATTGCTAACGTTAGTTTAATCTCTAAGAAGGTAAAAGTCAGTGGAAGAAAGTTTACTTACTTTTCAAATGTTTTAGCAATTATTTTTATCATTCGCAAGTTTGATTAATTAGATTAATAAGTATTGGGAGGAATTTGACTGATTTTAAAACTGTCTTTGGCATAAATTTGGTGTCGTTTTCATAGATGATTTTTTAAAAATATATTTCCTATCTTTTATAATCTGAAAGAACTGACCTTATCATTTTCTTTTGCCTATTATCAATCTCATCTTTAATTTCTGAAGATAGTAACGGATATTACTTGGAGGAAATTAATTCTTTCATATGAGATTTATCCATTTATTTGTATATACTGTTATCCTTAAAGAATAGAATATAGGATTACAGAGTAAATAGGGAGAGGGTACCGTTACCAAATCTGAATATTTTTTCCCGTTTTCTCAAAAAAAAAAAAAAAAAAAAAAAAAAAATCTCGGAAACAGATTTTTTTTCTCTTTGTATTTCTATTGTTACATTTTAAAAATTTATTGATAGAGTAATTCCTTATTGTAGAAGTCGTGTAAATACATGGAATATAAGAGCAGCACCTAATTTGTGATTTATAGATGTGTGCCATTTCTTTTCTCTATACCATATTCTTTACTTGTGAATATAATTAATACATCCCTACAATTATTAATTTGTGTTTTTCTTTTATTTCACCATTTCCCATCTTAACTCTTTGAGGAACAGGATTTTTAGAGGGAAAATACACCTCAAGTTACAAAAAGAAATTGATGTTTTTACTGTGAGTAGCCAGGTTCCCCACTCCATAATTATTTTTGCTTAAATGGCCATGAAAGGCTAATTAGGAAATAAACGTGTGCCTTTAAACTTGAAAGAGAGATAAATTAATGTATAAATGAATCAAAAGTGGGGTATGATTTACCCACAGTGCAAGGAGTCACGTTTAAAATATGAGACAAATTAGGGACATCATTACCTCAAAGAGTTAAACCACTTGACATACTCTACTACATTATACTATTTCATGCACGTATGGAATGTCAAATGAAGCAATGTCATTTGAATTCGCTGACACATCTTATTATATAGACTAACTAGAAATTACAGCATGCAAGGCAAGCAATGAAAAAAATAATTGTGACAATGCTGAAACAAGATATGAATGAGAATAACCTCACAACAGACGTACTTTTGTATTGCGAAACTATTCACTTTCATTCATACCCTTTTCAACATCGCAGAATAAATGAAAAGCCATAAAAGTGGCACTGAAAAGTATAAAACAAGAAAACCGATAAAACAATCATTGAATGAAATGCCATTAATTAGAAAAGTAATGAAGACTATATAAAAAAAGAGAAAACAGATAAATCATAAGAGTAAACGCCATTAAAAAGAGGTATTGAAGTTTATAAAAACAAGAGAAGACAGAAAAAAAGATCGCTCGCGCACTACTTTCCTTTGCGGAGGTTGAGGAGCTGAACGTACCTTCTCATTTCCTCTTGCAAGAAATCGTAATATTCGGAGATCTTTTCGTCCGTTGAAGTGATCTTGATGACTGGTCGGTTGGCGGAAATCGGCTGTGCAAGAAAAAAAGGAAAGTAAGAGTATATAGAGTCGATGTTTATGATTAGAAATTTAAGCCACACATACACTCATGCATATCAAGCGGGCGGAGGAATACAGACCACTGTTTAACCTTGGGGAAGGCAAGATCAGTAGCAACTCGAGGTGCCATGGCGTCCCACAGGGTTATTTTAATAATTGTTCAATGGGAATATAACCATGAAAATCATTATTTTTCATCCTTTTTTAAAATTGAAAGACAAAAATGATCGACCATATTCACAAAGCATTCACAACTTTTGTGACGTGATCAAAATAAACCCCATGTGCTTTTTCAAAAAATAGAATCAGACGCCATGACACCTCGAATCGCTACTGATCTAGCCCTATAACTTTATACGGACATACACATAAGTAATCAGATATCTATAAGCCTAGACATGTATAATAACCGATTATACAGACAAATGTATACCTACCATATAGACAAATATGCATTTATATCAGAGTATCTACATGTCCGTATCTATAAATATTCATTTATACCAATCCCTCCTTACCCATCCTCCCCCCTCCCTCCCAATCCATCCTCATCTCCCCCCACCCCTCCCCCCACCCTACCTACCCACACCCACCCCCTACTCACGGGCTGCGGTGCTCCTCTCTTCCTCTGCTCGTGGATCACCTGCGGGATGTGGTCGAATCCCTTAGGCCTCTTGTAGTCCTTGGGCGGCGCTTTGACCTCCTCCAGGCGGATCCCGGCTTTGTGGCGCCTGAGGTACTTGTGGGTTTCCTGGTTGGACATGTGTACCTGGGGAGGGAGAGAGGGTGAGAGGGGAAAGAGAGTGAGAGGGGAAAGAGGATTAGGGGGAAAAAGGGTGAGAGGGTGAGGGGGGAAAAGGATGAGAGGGGAAATAGGGTGTGAGAGGGTGAGGGGGGAAAAGGATGAGAGGGGGAAATACCATTTTTTATTTTGGGGTTTTTAATATTTTCAGGGAGGGAAGGGGAAGTTAAGTTTGTTGGGTTGAGATTTTGGTTAAATGGGGAAGAGGGGGGGGGGAGTTTAGGAGAATTTTTTAAGGGCGCATTTAATTATTTATTTGGGGGGCAATTTTTTGTTTCGTGGGGGTGGGGTGAGAGGGGAGGGCCAGTTTTTTTTTTTGAGGGGGGGAGGTTTTTGAAGGGAGAAAAGTTTTTTGGTTTGGATTTTCCTTTTGGGTATGTAGAGATATTTGCTTATACTTATTTAGACGTGCATTGAAAAAAGATGTTACGCAGATTTGATCAATAGACACCTCTTTATGCCTGGTTTCAATATATCGTTTTGTTTAAGTAAATTGTTTAAATATATCGGGTAAGAACGGGCTAAGTACATTCTGATATGTGCAGATTTGCTTAAGTATGCTTTATTAATGTTAGTCTGGTTGATATACTATAAACATCGAAATATAGGGTAAAATACGTCCAATATGCACAGACAGAGAACGTGTAATCTATCCTAATATATAACAATAATGGGCGTTTTTGTCAGTACAGCAGCAGTACGTGTACATGCAACTATGGGGAAAAAAAGGAAAAAAACTACGTCAGATGACAAACCGCAAAAATAAATTGATAAATAAATAAATAAAATAGAAAAGCCAAAAGAAAAAAAAAATGGGACTAAAATGATCATGGCAAGAAATAATATTCTAGAATCCCATAGATCCAATACAACATCATGTGAATGAAACAAAACTAAAGAATACAACAGAAATATATCCGAATACAACGACTACTTATGTAACAAAATGAGACACATAGTAACACTTGTAAAATGATAAAATGAACACAAACACAGCAAAAAGAAAATCCTAATAAAATAATAAGAATATACGAACAAAACAAGAAAATATTGATAATAAAATGAGAAATACGAATAATTTAAAAAATACGGATAACAATATATATATATATATATATATATATTATATATATATATATATATACGGATAACAAAAAAAATCGGATAACAAAAAAGAAAATGCAAACAAAACAAAACAAATAACAAAACAACAAGACACAAACAACAACAACAGCACGCAGAACCACCTACCTTCTCCGAGAACATAATGAGACTCGTCATCTTCTTGCTGTTGGTGTAGCGTCCGAGGTCCTTCTTGGGTTCGAGTGTCTCCTTCTCCTTCTCCTCCTTCTTCTTCTTCTCCTTCTCCTTCTTGTGTCTTCCCCAGAACTTCTGGATGATCATAGCCGCCTCCTCTGCTGACAGGCCCTCCGCCTAGGCAAAGGGAAGGGAAGGGAAGTGTTAGAAAGGAAAATGAGAATAGGGGAAAGGGAGGGAAGGGAAGTGTTAGAAAAGAAGTGAGAAAAGAAAAAAAGGAGGGATGGAAGGAAAAGGGAAGATGGGAGGTCGTGTTAGAAAGGAAAATGAGAAAAGAAAAAAAGGAGGGATGGAAGGAAAAGGGAAGATGGGAGGTCGTGTTAGAAAGGAAAAGGAGAGAGGGGAAAGGGAGGGATGGAAGGAAAAGGGAAGAAGGGAGGTCGTGTTAGAAAGGAAAGTGAGAAAAGGGGAAAGGGAGGGATGGAAGACCGCATCAGAAAGTAAAAAAGAGAAAACGAGAAGAGGGGAAAGGGAGAGATGGGAGGTCGTGTTAGAAAGGAAAAAAAAAAGAAAAGGAAGAATGGGAGGAGAAGGGAAGATAGGAGGTCGTGTTAGAAAGGAAAAGAGAGGAAAGAAGAAAGGAGGGATGGAAGGTCGTGTTAGAAAGGATAAACAATAATAAAAAATAATAAAAAAATAATGGAAGGTTGTTATAAAAAGAAAAGAGAAAGTTAAAAGTTAAAAGGAGGAATTGTTGAAAAAAAAAAAAAAAGAAAAAAAGAAAAAAAAGAAGAAGAAAAAAATAGAAGGTTTGGGGAGGAGGGATTACCAGGAAAAAAAGAAAAAGAACAAAAAAACGGAAGACTATATAGAAAGAGAAGGGGAAGGTTGTGTTGACAAAGGGATAGGCAATTTGTGCAAATGTTGTGGCGCTGGGTTATAAGCGATGGTGATGATTATGATGATAATAGTGATATTGTTACTGATGATGATGATGATGGATGTGATGGTGGTGGTGGTGGTGATGATGATGGTGATGATAGTGATGATGATGATGAGGAAGAAGGATGATTATCCTGATCGTATTCATAGTGACACCAAATGAAAAAAAAAAAATAAAAATAACACCAAAAATCAATAAAAACAATCATACCAATAGTAAAATAGATAAATAGATAAATCTCAACACCACATACAGCCATTAAATCTCCTTAAATGCCTTCATACACACACACACACACACACACACACACACACACACACACACACACACACACCACACACACACACACACACGCACACGCACACACACACACACACACCCTTGGCCCCACTTACCTCCAAAGCCTTTGACGCCTCCTCCGCGTTATCAATATGTTTCTCAACCAATTTCTTTAGTCTCTCCTCAAGGGCGGGTCCCCACTCCAGCCGCGTCAGGTGACCTCGGAAACCTTGCGGGGAAATGGGAAGGGAAATTATGGGGGAAAATGGGGTGTTTTGTTGTGTGTATTGGACGTGTGGTGGGTGGAAATAGGGGTGTTTCTTGGTGTTGAATGCGTGGTGGGATAGCCCTTATGGCGGTGTTTGATAAAAAGGATGTTTTGTTGAGAATATGTTGTAGTGTGTATTGGACGTGTGGTGGGTGGAAATAGGGGTGTTTCTTGGTGTTGAATGCGTGGTGGGATAGCCTTAATGGTGTTTGATAAAAAAAAAGTTTTTTTTTTTGTTGAGGATATATGGATGTGATGTATTGTGGTTATACTTGTTTTGTGTGTTGAGGAAATGTTTAATATTTTTTTATATATATCCATGGTGCCTTTTTGTGTTGAATGTGCGTTGGGATATCCCTTGAGGAAATTTTTGATAAAGAGTTTTTTGTTGCGAATATTTAGAGTGGATATGATGCACTGTGGTTATACTTATATTTGTGGTGTTTTTGATATTGAATGTGTGTTTGGATATTCTTTGAGGCATTGTTTAATAAGTTTTTTTTTTTTGTTGCGATATGATACTTGGTAGATATACTTTAAGTTTAGTCTTTCTTGATGTTGACTGTGTGTTGGGATATCCCTTAAGGATTTTTTTTTGATAAAAGAGTATTTTGTTGCGAATATTTAGAGTGGTTACGATGCACTGTCGTTATGCTTTTATTTGTGGTGTTTCTTTATGTTGAATGTGTGTTGGAAATATCCCCTAAGAAAATATAATTTAATATTTTTAAAGAATATTTAGAGTGGATATGATACCTGATGGATATACTTGATGTTATATTTATGGTGTTTCTTGATGTTGAATGTGTGTTGGAAATATCCCCTAAGGAAATATCATTTAATAGATTAAAAAAATATATATTTAGATACATGGTGTTTCTTGATGTTGAATATGTGTGGTAACATTCTTTAGGGAAATAAAAAGGGTTTTGTGGTGAAAAGATATGATGAATATATCATGCTTGGTGTTATATTCACAGCATAACATAGAGGGATGCAGTGTGGTGTTTCTATATGTTGAATATATGTTGTGATATTTTATATACTTTTAAGGGTTTTATTGCGGATATAATGTTAGATGTATTATGATACTTGGTGTTACATATCTGTTATATTCCTGTTACGTATTAATTCAAGACAAGCTACGGTTAAAAAGTCCATACTATGATTATAAAAACGAGGATATATCGTGATGTTACAAGGTGTTAAATATGTGTATTACATGTACTTACAAGGAGTCCCGGTAGACTGTCACTTGTTGATAACTAATTAACCAAAGACTCTCATGAAGTACATATGTATATTATCTAAATAACTAGTTTAATTTGGTTTACATGACACAGACAGGAGATAGAAATGTACTGTGGGGATGTTAATACTTTGTGATGATGTACGCATAATGTATTCCGTATGAAATTCTGAACAGCTGTTTAGTTGTACATGTAGTTCGAATTGTATTATCCTTATGTATCTTTATTAAAGGTATATTTAGTATATGCAGTTTATTCAGAGTGAATTACATTACTGCATGTATATCATACATGGATTTTTAAGTGTATGTGTGTGTGTGTGAATGTTAGTGTGTGTGAATGTTGTGTGTGTGTGTGTGTGTGTGTGTGTGTGTGTGTGTGTGTGTGTGTGTGTGTGTGTGTGTGTGTGTGTGTGTGTGTGTGTGTGTGTGTGACTGTATGTATGTATGTTTAAGCGTCTCCATGCCAGCATACTACGAGCGTACACATGCTTACGTCAATGGCTAAGTTGCAAGGAGCGAACATTGGATTTGCCGCAAAACAGATGATTATACTCACACATCCTAGGATATTAATCTCGGGACCAAACTACGTCACACACCGTACACGTAAAAAAAAAAAAAAAAAAAAAAAAAAAAAATAATAATATAAATATATTCCGACGCGCGCAAACAGTGCATGGCGATCATAAATAGCAAGTCATGCATACGTGCTTTCTGTTAGTTAAAAAAAAGTAATAATGGTAGTAAAAAAAAAATAGGATTGGTTATCTTTCCTTTACTACATTTTATAAGTAGAGTATCTGAATCCTGTTCTGTGGGATCAGATCTTATCTAAAGGGATCAAATCTAATTCGAAATGTTACTTCGAGGGAACAAATCCTACTATAAGGAATCGAATCCTACTTCAAGAGATCAAATCCTCTTTCAAGGAATCGAATCCTACTTCAAGAGATCAAATCCTCTTTCCAGGAATCGAATCCTACTTCAAGAGCATCAAATCCTCTTCCCAGGAATCGAATCCCAAATCAAAGCATCATCTCTTTCCAGGAACCGAATCTACCATCTCGGAATCCACATCCTACAGAGCATCCTACAGACTACCGCCTCAAGGACATGCATCGAGCGCGCCTTACGAGACTGGATGAGGGTGGCGGCTTCATCCTCCGTCATTGTCTCCTTCGTCTTCGGTGGCTTCGGGGCCTCCCTCTTCGCCTCCTTCGCCTCCTTCTTGGGCTCACTGTCGAGCGAGGACTGAGCTCCAAGGGCGCCCATCATCTTCGCCTTCATCCATTGCGCTACAGGGAAGGGGCGCCGTCGGTTATGGGGGCTGGGGCACTCGTGGGCGTGGGGGTTTTTTTTTTTTTTTTTTTTTCGTTGAGGGGGGTCTTGTGATTTTTTTCTCTCTCTCTTTTTTATTTATCTTCTTTCGTCTAGTTATTTATTTTTTCCTTCTCGGTCTCTGTCTCTGTCTCCGTCTCTGTCTGTCTCTGTCTCTCTCTCTCTCTCTCTTACTCTCACTTTCTATTTCCCTCTCTTTCTCTCTGTTTCTCACTCTCTCTCTCTCTCTCTCTTCCCCCCCTCCTCTCTCTCTCTCTCCTTCTCCGCACCTCCCTCTCTCTTCTCTCTCTCCTCTCCCTCTCTCCTCTTCTCTCTCTCTTCTCTCTCTTCCTCTTCCTCTTCTCTCTCTCTCTCTCTCTCTCTCTCTCTCTCTCTCTCTCTCTCTCTCTCTCTCTCTCTCTCTCTCTCTCTCTCTCTCTCTCTCTCTCTCTCTCTCTCTCTCTCTCTCTCTCTCTCTCTCTCTCTCTCTCTCTCTCTCTCTCCTCCATCTCTCTCTCCTCTCATCTCTCTCTCTCTTCTCTCTCTCTCTCCTCTCTCTCTCTCTCTCTCTCTCTCTCTCTCTCTCTTTCTCTCTCTCTCTCTGCCTCCATCTCTCTCTCTCTCTCTCCATCTCTCTCCCTCTCTCTCTCTCTCCATCTCTCTCTCTCTGCCTCCATCTCTCTCTCTGCTCCCTCTCTCTCTCTCTGCCTCCCTCTCTCTCTCTCCTCTCTCCTCTCTCTCTCTCTCTCTCTGTCTCTCTGCTCTCTCTCTCTCTCTCTGCTCTCTATCTCTCTCTCTCTCCCTTCTCTTCTCTCTCTCTCTCTCTCTCCTCCCTCTTTCTCTCCTCTTCTCTCTCTCTTGCCTCTCTCTCTCTCTCTCTCTCTGCCTCCCTCTCTTCTCTCTCTCTGCTCCCTATCCTCCCTCTCCTCTCTCCTCTCTCTCTCTGCCTCCTCCTCCTCCTCTCTCTGCTCCCTCTCTCTCTTCTCTCTGCCTCTCTCTCTCTCTCTGCTCCCTCTCTCTCTCTCTGCCTCCTCTTTCTCTGCTCTGCCTCTCCTCTCTCTCTCTCTCTGCCTCCTCTCCTCTCTCTCTGCCTCTCTCTCTTCTCTCTCTCTCTCTGTCTCCCCCCTCTTCTCTCCGTCTGCCTCCTTTCTCTCTCTCCCTCTGTCTCTGGTCTCTGTCTCTCTCTCTCTCTCTGTATATATATTTATGCATCGTCACTGTATTTAGTATTTATATCTTTTTTTTCGCCGAGACTAAAAAGAAATCAACAAATAAGCAGACCAAACAATTCTTAATAAAAAAATCACTCCCAACCGTCTACTCATACCCCTTTACCGCCTCTTAATCTACTTATAACACTCCCTCACACTACCTTACCACCTCCTCATACTCCCTCACACTACCTTACCCCCCTCACAACCCCTTACCTTCTCATAGTCCTCGCACCCTTATCCCCCTTTAGTCCCTCACACCCCTTACCCCCCTAATAGTTCCTCGCACCCTTACCCCCCTCATAGTCCCTGCACCCCTTACCCCCTCATACCCTCGCCCACCCTTACCCCTCATAGTCCCCTCGCACCCCCTTACCCCCTTATAGTCCTCCACACCCTTAACCCCCTCATAGTCCCTCACACGCCCCTTATCCTCTCCTCATACACCTCACACCCTTATCCCTCCTCTCATAATCTCACACCTCCTTACCCCTACCTCATTCTCCCACACAATCCCTTATCCCCCTCACACTCCCCTCATACTCCTTACCCTCCCCCCTCATACCCCTTACCCCTAGCCTCCTCATACTCCCTTATACCCTTCCCCTCGCTCTCATACTCTATACCCCCCCTCCCCCTCCTCCTCATACTCCTTATCCTTCGCCTTCTCATTAACCGCTTATATCCCTTACCTTCCCTCATACTCCTTACCCCTCGCTTCTCATTACTCCCTTATAGCCCCTTACCCTTCCCCTCGCCTCCTCATACTCCCTTATACCCTTATCCTTCCCCCTTATACTCCTTACCTCTCGCCTCCCTCATCCCCTTATACCCTTACCCGTCGCCTTCTCATACTTCCCTTATACCCCTTACCCTTCCCCCTATACGCCCCTCGCCTCCTCATACTCCCTTATACCTTATCCTCATACTCCTTTATACCCCTTACCCTTCCCCTCATACTCCTTACCCTCGCCTCCTCATACTCTCCCCCCCCTCATACCCCCTCACCCTTCCCCTCTTACCTGCGTCCTTCTGCTGCGACTTCTCCGCGGCGGCGGGGGCGCGGGGGCCTTCTGGGTGGGCGGGGGTGGGATGGCTGCCGGTTTGTGAATTTCGTCCTGGTATTTCTTGCGAATGATCCAGCCTCGGTGGGGGGGGGGGGAGAGGAAGGGTGGGGGGGAGGGAGGGAGTGGGTTGATTAGTAGGCCTATGTGATTTTTTTTTTGTATGGGTGGGTCTGGTTGTTTGGTTTTATGTGTGTGTGTGTGTTTGGATTTTTTGTGTGTGTGTGTGTGTGTGCACGCGCACTTGTGTATGTATGTGTGCATCTATGTATCAAACTTTGAACACACGTCAAAAAACAAGAACACCAATATAAGACACAAAAAACAAGTTTCACTCGTATTAAAAACCAAACACATAAAAAAGAAAAAAAGAGGGAAAGAGAAAACCCAAAAAATAAAGAAAAAGAAAAAAAAGAGTATGAAAAGAACATATAAACAAGGAGTAAAAAACAAACAAAAAAGGAAGAAGAAAGAAGAAAGAAAAAAAAACGAGTAAAAAAAAATCAAAATCAAAAGATAAAAATAAATAAACAAAAAATAAAAATAAATAAATAAATATAAAAAAAAAAGATTAAAAAGATCGAACGCCCACGCCCCTCACCTCTGCAGCGTGATGACGGAGCGCGCGAGGGCCCACTTCTGCTTCTGGTACCGCACGCGCGCCAGCCACCGCCGCACGCACGCCTGCACCTGGATCACGCGGCGGATCTGTCACGTGGGGGGAAAAGAAGAGTTTATTTCGTATCTATTTTTTGTTTGTTGTTTTTGTTTTTTTGTTCTTGATTATTTTTAATTTCGTGTTTTTTTATGGGGATTTTTTTTTTTTTTTTGTTGATTATTTTGGTTTATCTTTTTAATTGTTGATGTTATGGATTGTCTTTTTTTTTCTCTCTTTTTTAAGTTTGATTCTGTTTTTTGTTTGTTTGTTTATTATCCCCGTGTTTTCTTTCTTTTTGTTTCATGGATTATGTAGGTAATTATACTGATCTCGTGTCTTATCTTACACGTCTATTTCCCTCTTTCTTTCCCTTTTCCCCTTCTTTCTTACCTTCTCTCTATCCCTTACTTCCTTCCCTCCCCTCTCCCCTACCCTCACCCTCTCACCCCCTCAACTACATCCTCTCCCACCCATCCCTCCTCCCTACCTCCTTCTCCCCTCACCCACCCATCCCATCTCCCCTACCTTCCCATCCCCCTCCCTCCTCCCCTTACCCTCTATCTCCCCTTACCCACCCGCCCCTACCCCATCCCTCCTTTCTCCCCTCACCCACCTCCTCTCCCACCCACCATCCTCCCTACCTCCCATACCCCACCCACCCACCCCACCCTCCCCTACCTCCCACCTCCCTTTCCCCTCACCCACCCACCCCCCTCCCATACTCCCCACCCCCTCCTCCCCTCACCCCCACACCCCAACCTCCCCACCCCACCCCAACCAACCCCACCCACCCCACCCCAACCCCCCCTCTCCCCTCACCCCCACACCCAACCTCCCCATCCCCCTCCTCCCCTCACCCCCACACCCAACCTCCCCATCCCCCCACCCACCCCAGCTCCTCACCTGCTTCTCATACATCTTGGCCAGATACTCCACATGGTAGTACTTGAGGAACACCTTCGTCTTGCCGATCGCCCAGCCGTCCATCTTGAGTCGGATGAGGAGGAGGCGGCAGTTGTCCTTCGAGGCGGTCACGCGCTCGTCGAAGTTGAAGGCCAAGAAGCAGTATCTGGTCGGGGGATTTTCGACTTTATTGGCGTTGGTGGGTCTTTTATTGGTGTTTTTTTATTGTTTTTTTTTTTTTTTGTACTGTTCTTGTTGTTATTGTTACTGTCATTATGGTTGTTCTGATCATCATCTTCGTTATCTTCATTGTTGTTATTACTACTATTGTTATCATTATCATCATTATCATCATTATTATCCTTATTATCATTATTATTATTATCATCATTATTATTATTTATTATCATTATTATTATCATTGTTATGAATGTTACCTTTCTCACTACTTGCCAATATCCTAAGTGTAACTATAACAACAAAACTCCATCAACAGCAGCCATAACAAAACCCTTAACTACAACTACAACAACAACAATCACAACACTACCCGTATGACATCTACAACCACACCAACGACTACAACAACAAAACCAACACCAACATCTCTTCTATAACAACTACAAAACCCTTAAATACAACAACACCAGCTACAACAACACCCACCTGCGTAGGAATTCAGCGAAGGGAATGCGATGTGAGTAGCCATGCTGACGGATCCTGACAGTTTCCATCACGCCCGCATAGCGCAGCTGACGTTGTACCTGGAGGAGGGGGTGAGGGGGAGGGGGTGTTAGAGCACGTGTTGGCGGTTCTCGGGGATGTTTTGGTCTGATTTAGCAGGTACATAAAGACACATACACACGTAAGCACACACACACACACACACATCATATCTATCCTCCATCATATCATATAAATACATATATTCATATATACATATATTCACATACACACACACACGCACACACAAATATACATACATATATATATTATATATCACATATATCTAAACACACACCATACAGTTCCTTCTTTCTTTCTCGCACTTTGATATTCCTTCTATCGTTCTTTCACCCCCCCCCCCCCATCGAACCTTACCTTCTTGGCATCGAACTTATCCGGGAGCTTCTCGTCATTGGGCTTGATGCACCTGACGAAGTGTGGCGTCCCGTTCACCATCTTCTGCAGGAGGTCCATGAGCGAGTACCTGAAGTAGGTGGCCACCGTCTGCTGCGCCTTCGTCTGCGAGGCGAGGCCGCGGCTGTCGTATTGTGTCTGAAGGAGTGTGAAGATTTTTTTTTATAGGTGAAAGGGTTGTGAAATTGGGAAATAAGATGAAAGAAGAGAGAAAAAGACTAAAATGCTGATCAACATACCATCATTTTTTATTATTGAACGTTTCCTTTTAATTAAATAGTAATGAACACCCTTTCAATGAACTTATACAAAATAGATAATAATTTTCATCATTAATCGAATCCTTACGATCAGCTGATAGAAAAATAAATATCATTAAACAAAGCCCTTTTAGTAGACTTAACTGTTTTTGCCTGTCCTGTCACATGGCAAAAAAATCTTTTACATCATTAATCGTATCCTTTTAATTAACAAAACCTTTTCAGTGAACTTCCTCAATGGACTTATGCCTGTAATTAAATAACTCCCAACAAACAAAGCCATTTCAGAGGACTGACACACAAAAAAACGAACCTGTTTCATCATTAATTGTATCCTTTTAAATAACTCCTGCAAAAAAAAAGTATTTAACGAAGCCCTTTTAATGAACTCGCATTACAAAAATCCTAATTAACATACCAACCTTTTTTGACCATTGCACTTATGCCTTTAATCAAATAATTCTTAAAAACAAAGACATTTCAACGGATAAAAAGAAAAAAAAAACACGATTCTCTTTCCTCATTAATCGTATCCTTTTAAATAACTTCAGAAAAAAAAAAAACAAAACAAATAAATATAAAAAATAAAAAATAAAATAAAATATTATAAAAAATTAAATATTATACGGCCCTTTAATGGACTTACTTTGGTGCTTCCCTGGCGTGACTTGGGCCTGTCGCTGATGGTACTGCGTGGGGAGGCGCGGGGGGTCGCGTAGTACAGGTTGCCCGTCTTGGTGAGCGGGCACTGGAACAGGAATCTGGAATGGGAATGAGGGTGAGGGTAGTTTGTATAGTAAGAGGGGTGGGGTGGGGGGAGTTGTGGTCTTATTGTCATTTTCTCTTTCTCTCTCTCTCTCTCCTCTCTCTCTCTGCCTCTCTCTCCTTTTCTCTGTCTCTCTCCCTCCCTCTCTCTCTCTCTCTCCATGTTCCTCCCTCCCTGTCTCTCCCTCTTCCTCCCTCCCTCCCTCTCTCCCTCTCCAACTCACGTACCTTATAACATCATGCGCGCTCTGTCTGAACAACTGAATAACTTCGGTCGGCAAGAAGTTCTTGTTCTTCTCCAGGAACTTCTCTGCGTTGTAGGATACTTTCCCAGCGAAGTGGCGGATGGTGAAGTCCAGGCTCTGGGCTTTGGGCTTCACGTAGAACTGAGATTTGACGTTGCTGTGGAATTTGTCTGAGGGGAAGAGATTGAGAGAGAGTGAGAGTGAGAGTGAGAGTGAAGAGTGAGAGTGAGAGTGAGAGTGAGAGAAGATTGAGAGCAGAGAGAGAGAGAGAGAGAGAGAGAGAGAGAGAGAGAGAGAGAGAGAGAGAGAGAGAGAGAGAGAGAGAGAGAGAGAGAGAGTGAGGGAGGGAAGGGGGAGAAAAAAGAATGGGTTTGATTATAATTCTATGACATTAGGATATGGGTTTCCGTTGTTATTGCTGATGGTGGTAGTTTTGTCGTAAATGTTGTTGTTAATGATAATCACGAAGTTGTTATTATTGTTCATTATCATCATAACTACCACTCGCACAAATGAACATCAAAGACACACCAGCATCACCAAAAAAAAAAAAAAAAAAAAAAAAAAAAAAAAAAAAAAAAAAAAAAAAACAAACCAATTCAAAATACACAAAACAAACAAACAAACTTACCAACAAGAGACTGATCACTGGCCTGTGGGAATCGACTTTCCTCGTCCAGAAGGGCAAGAAGACCCATTGGTTTGGCCAGGAACATGTCCAGGATAGGTCGGTTGTCGGCAAATTCCACGATATTCACCTGTTGGGAGAAGAGGAGGATGGTTGGGTTGGTTGTTTGGGGATTTTGGGTAGGTTGGGTGGTTGAATGTTAACTGTAAGGGAAAGTTATGAATTGTTTTTTTCTTCTACTTTTTTCTTATCTTTCTCTATAGCTATGAATCTGTCTCTTTATCTGTCTATATTTCTCTTTTTCTTACTCTCCGTCTCTCCCTTTTATCTTTGTTTTTTCTCTCTCTATCTTTCACTTTTTTTTCACTCTCCCTCTTTTCCTCTTTCTATGCCTATCTGTTTGTCTGCCTGTCTGTCTGTCTCTCTCTCTCTCTCTTTCTGCTCCCTCGCTCTCTCTGATTCTCTTCTCTTTCTCTCCACCCTCCTATGTATCCATATCCCTTTAATCTCTTTTCCTATCATTGTGTCTCCTTTCTCTTACCATCTGCCCCTTTCAATCTCTGTTTCAATCCTTATCTCTTTTTTCTTTCCATCTACCATCCTCCCTTTCTCTCTCTCTGACTCCCCCTCCCCCCATCTCTCTCTCTTCCCAACTCCCCCTCCCCTCTTCCCCCTTCTCCCTCACCCACCCAACCTTCACCATCTAACTCCACCTCTCACCTCAATTCCCTCTTCCTAACCCTCCCTCCACCACTTTCTCCCTCCCTCACCACCCACCCCACCTAACTCCACCCTCCCCTCCCCTCCAATCCACCCTTCTCCTCCCCCACCCCCCTTCTCCCTCCCTCCCCACCCACCCCCACCTAACCCCACCCTCCCTACACCCACCTTCTCCCTCCATCCCCCACCTACCCCCATCTACCTCCCCCACTCACCTCAATTCCCTCCGACATGTACTCCTGTTGCTCCCACGTGAAGATATGTTGGTTGAAGAAGTACTGGATCTGCTCGTTGGCTATGTTGATGCAGAGCTGTTCGAAGGAGTTGGTGTCGAAGTTCTCGAAGCCGAAGATGTCCAGAAGACCCACGGCTAGACTGTCGCCGCTGTGGAGTAAGGGGGATTGTGAGGTCGAATCGTTCGTTTGTCTGTTTATTTATTTAGTTTGTTTGGAGGTTGTGGTGGGGATTGTGAGGCGAATCGTTCGTTTGTTTGTTGTTTATTTTTATCTATTTAGTTGCTTGTTTGGAGGTTGTGGTGGGGATTGTGAGGTCGAATCGTTAATTCGTCTATTCATTTATCTATTTAGTTGCTTGTTTGAAGGTTGTGGTGGGGATTGAACAATAACTTCTAAAAAAATGTTAGCATTAATCTAAGGCCTTTAAATTAACTTTAAAAAATGTTTGCATTAAACAAAGGCCTTTAAACTAACTTATAAAAAAAATTGTTAGCATTGAGCAAAGGCCCTTAAACTAACTTCTAGAAAAATGTTAGCTTAAACAAAGCCCTTTGGACTAACTTTAGAAAAAAAGCCCTTTAAACTAACTTCTAGAGAAAAAAAATGTAAGCCTCAACCAAAGCCCTTCTGGAAACAAACAAAACCCTTTCAACGAACTTCTCATAAACAAAGCCCTTTAAACTACCTTCTAGAAAAAAATAAACAAGAGAAAAAGAAGCTAGAAAAAATAAACAAAAGAGAGAAAAATAGCATTAAACAAAGTTTAAACTACTAAACAAAGACTAGAGCTTCAAAACAAAGTTAAAGCTAAGAAAGGAAATCAAACAAAACCCTTTCAACTTCAGAAAAAAATAAATAAACAAAGCTAGAAAAAAATCTTTCAACTAACTTCTAGAAAAAAATAAACAAAGCCATTTAAAACCATAAACAAAACCCTTTCAACTAACTTCTAAAGAAAAAAATAAACAAAGCCATTTAAGCTAACTTCTAGCAACTAACTTCTAAAACAAAGCCGCTAACTTCCAAAGAAAAAAAAAAAAAAAAAAAAAAAGCCTCAACCAAAGGCAGCGGGACCACACTCACTAGACGATCCTGCAGAAGGACAAGAGGCGGTTGATGTTATTGACGATCCAGTCGAAGAGTCTGCCGTACATCGCCTTGGCCATGGCGTCCCTCGTGCTGACCGCCTCCTCCACCGTGTTGTTCCTGGTGATGATCTCGCCCTTGGTCACCACGCTGTTGGAGGTCAGGGCGTCTGCTAGGTCAGCGGGGTCGATGCCGAGGAGTTCCGATACTGGAGGAGGAGGAGGTGGGAGGAAGGAAGGAGGAAGGAGGGTGAGAATTTCGGTTATGTTGTTATTATTTTTTCAAGGGTTTGGTTTTTTTTCTTGTTTTTATTTTTATTTCATGTTTTTTTATTATTATTATTATTATTTTAAGGGTTGTATTTTTTCATCTTGGAAGTGATAGATTCTTGATGTGTGTATAGTTTTTTTTTATGAAGGTTTTTTTATGCTTTTTTTTGAAGAAGTTGCAAGTTTGATTTCTTGTATTATGAAAGGTTGGAAAATCGATTTATTTTCTAAGGGTAGGAATTTTTATTTTTTATTTTTTTTTTCAAAACTGATTTTTTTCAGAGGTTGGATTTTTTTTTTCTAAAGATAAGAAACTTTTTTTCCGAAGACCAGAAAATTTCAGATTTAAATTCAAACCACAAGTTTTTTTTTTACGTGAATATAAGTAGGCCTACATATGGATGCAATTTCTTATTCACCCATCCCCCACTCTCATCACCCCCCATTCTTCTCCTTACTCAATTACTCTTACGACTCTTACTCACCCACTCACTCACTCTTTCTCTCTCTCTCTCTCTCTCTCTCCTTCCCTTCCTCTCTCTCTCTCGCTTTATCTCTCTCTTCCTCTCTTACCCTCCTCTCTCTCTCTCTCCCTCTCTCTCTCTCCTCTCTCTCTCTCTCTCTCTCTCTCTCTCTCTCTCTCTCTCTCTCTCTCTCTCTCTCTCTCTCTCTCTCTCTCTCTCCATCCTCCCTCCCTTTCTCTCTTTCTCTCAACTCACCCCCCTCATACCTCCTCTTTCTCCTTACCGATCTTAATCTGCTCCACATTCTTCACCGCCGCCTGCTCCATGTTATCCTTATCAATCGTCTGATAAAATTCGACGTCGCCCAGGTTAATAATGGCCGCCAGGATTCTGTACACGGAGTCCAGCTCGTCGTCTCGGAAACCTAAGGACGTGAAACCCTCGACCACCTTGTTGAATTGCTGGACGTTTGCCTGTGGGTGGGAGATTTTTTTTTTTTTTTTTTTTTTTTTTTTTTTTTTTAGGGGGGGGGGGTGGGAGGGAGGGTAATGGTTGTGGGGGGGTGAAGGGAGAGGGTTGGGGAGATAAGGAGAGGTGAGGTGAAGGGATAAGGAAGGTTGGAAGAAGGAAATGGAGTGGGGGATGAGGGGGGTGAGAGGGAAGGGGTACGGGATGAGGAAGGGGTTGGAAAGGGGAGGAGGAGGGGTGTGGGAGAGGGGGAAGAGGAGGGTGGGGAGGAGGGGAGGGGAGGAGTGGGGGAGGAAGAGCGGGGGTGGAGATGGGGAGGAAGAGGGGGGGAGGAGGGAAAGGAAGAGGGGGGGAGAGGGAAAGAAGGGGAGGAGGAGGGGGTGGGGAGTGAGGAATTGGATTGGGGTGAGATGGGAGGAAAGTTTGAAAAAGGGTTGGGAGGGAAGGGGGGAGAGATAGAAAAAAATATTTAATGACAGCTATTGAAGTTATAACTAAGCGTATTTGATCAATTAAATCACTGAATACTAATCTCAATCTTCACTATATTTAGGTTTCTCTATCAAGAATTATATATCAAATGCCATAAACATAAAAATCATAAAAACACAAGCACACACACAATTACAACCAAAACACACACACAGATAAAAACAAACACAAACAAACAAAACACACAAGCACACACAGACACAAACGAATAAACAAACACACTGTACACATAAACAAACACACACACACAACAAACACACAAACAAACACACACACACACACACAACCAACCCCTCACCTCACTCTTCTCCTTGCTCCACGCCGCACCAGCAAGATACCGATGCTTGTCTCGCTTGCTCTTGTCAAGACTGTATTGCATCAGCTTGTTCTCGGCTTCAAGACCGTCGTACAGGTAGTAGAAGATGTGGAAGTTCTGTTCGCCTCTGGAAACCATGTGAGGGCTACTTTGCATCATTATATTGATGTTCACATTATAATTAAGGTTGTCCCTACCTGTCCGTCTAGAGTACCTATGCGCAATGGTCTAAGTCAGGATGTGTAGATCTAGAGATATAGATCTAAACATCTGTATTATCTTTTTAAATTGTCAACTTCTATGTCTATTGCTATGTATATTTTGTCATAAATACAGTTCTGGATAAGCTTATCTATGTTCGTTAAAGTTTTTATCTATCTATTTATCATGTAATGCAACAATTTACTTTTGCAACAATATTTGCGAATTATATACTTTATCATCATTATCATCATCTATACATACATATATATATATATATATAAATAATTATCATCAGCATGTATATACATAAACATATATAAATATATACACACAAAATAGCATAAAATACATATATACGTACACAAATTGAATGATTACATACATCATACATAAATACATATATACTTACATACAATATATACACAAATAAACGCTAGCCTACTTTGAGACTATAATTTGCAAACTCCACAGCAAAAATACTTATCCAAAACAGTAAATGGCTATGGTCTAGACTTCCTGTACAATTACATACTGAGGGAGTGTGGCCTCAAAAGCATTTTTTATGCTACAATGCTTCTTAAGGCCACATAAACAAGGGGTAAAACTTGCTTACACATTTAACAGCGCTCAGGTCACCTGGTTAACTGACCCGTGAGAACCTTGGTTAATAGATAGTGTTTTCCAGGTGAGGGAGATATACGTGTTGATGACATGTTTCTGTGGTGAGGGTACCAATCATGGTTAAAGTAATATATATATGTTTAGATGTTTTGGTCATGGTGTGACTTCTGATTAGATTTTTAATGAGAGGAAATGTATTTACTAAATGTATTTAGGAAATGAGTTGCTTGAAAGACACTTGACGAGCGTGTCAAAATTGCAAAAAAGAGCGAAAAATTGCTCTTTCTGCTTCTACGCTTCTGGACACCAGTATATCATCTTACACTTACATCCTCGATTGTAAAATGGGTCATTTGAAGCGTCGATTATATTACCTTTTTGACGTGTTTTAATTACCTTATTTGGCGAATTTGGATTTTACAATAGAGGGCGTCTCTATTGTAAAGTGTGAGTATAGAGGGAGGGGGTGCGTGCCCATGCGTTGGTACGTGCGTGGGTGGTTGGGTGCGTGCGTGCGTGGGTGCGTGCGAAGGATTTAGGTGAACAAGTTATAAACAAAAGAAGGGAGAATAGGACAGGAAACCACACGATTCCGCCAAAAGCCTTTTCGCTCTACTGCTCCGCCCCTTGGTGAAGCAATGAAGCGAGAAAACCTTATCCTGCGCTTCCTGCTCGTCCTTTCGGTCTGTTTATACTGCGTGAGTGCGTGCGTGCGTGCTTTCCTGTACAGCCTAGGTTAGTGCGTAATCATGTGCTTGAATGCGCGCGTACGTGCCTTTGTGTATGGATACATGAGTGCGTGCTAATGTATTTGCATGCGTGGTTTGGTGTATAGCCCACGCAAGTGCTCGCCTGATTGCGTGTATGCTTTCGTGCAACGATCCGTGAGTGCGTGCTCATATGTTTGCTTGCATGCGTGAATTGCGTGTGCGATAAAGAGCCCAGAACATGCAAGAAATCTCGCAACTTACTTCGCCTGGTGGACCACCCTCGACTGCTCCAGGAGGTAGACGGAAATCTTGGCTCCGGTGACCTTGCCGAGGCGAGTGTACGTCAGTTCCAAGTATTTTCCGAACCGCGAGGAGTTGTCGTTAATTCCCGTCTTGGCGTTTCCGAAGGCTTCCATGATGGGGTTCACTAACAGGATCTTGTCTTCGAGGTTCCTGTTGGGTGCCTGGTGGGGTTTAAGGGGGGTTGGAGGAAGGGGAAGAGGAAGAGAGGGAGAAAAGGTTGGGTTAGAAAGCGACGTGAGATAAAGGGTTGTTGATATAACACGTGCGGATAGATTTTTTTTTTTTTTTTTTTTTTTTTTTTGGGGGGGGGGATTCGTGTATCCAACATGTTTGGGTTTAAAATGAAGAACAGAAGAGAGAGGACATAATTGGTGAATTGAGAATGTATTGACGAATGGATGAGGAAGGAAATGGATGATTATATCGAGGGTCTTTTCGTATTATTTATTCTCCATATTTAATTGACCTCGTTCAACTTTCTCTTCCGTTCTCTGTCTGTCTGTCTAACTGGTCTGTCTGTCTGTCTGTCTGTCTGTCTTCTCTTTCTCTCCTCTCTCTCTCTCAATCCCCCCTCTCTCTCACCCCCGTCTCTCTCTCTCACCTCCCTCTCATCTCTCCCTCTCTCTCTCGCTCTCTCTCTCTCTCTCTCTTCTCTCTCTCTCTCTCTCTCTCTCTCTCTCTCTCTCTCTCTCTCTCTCTCTCTCTCTCTCTCTCCCTCTCTCCTCTCTCCCTCTCTCCCCTCTCTCCTCCCCTCCTCTCCTCCCTCCCTCCCTCCTCCCTCCCTCCCTCCCTCCCTCCCTCCCTCTCCTCCCCTCTCTCCTCTCCCTCTCCCTCTCTCTCTCCTCTCTCCTCTCCTCTCTCTCTCTCGTCTCTCTCTCTCTCTGCCTCTCTCTCTCCTCTCTCTCTCTCTCTCTCTCTCTCTCTCTCTCTCTCTCTCTCTCTCTCTCTCTCTCTCTCTCTCTCTCTCTCTCTCTCTCTCTCTCTCTCTCTCTCTCTCTCTCTCTCTCTCTCTCTCCTCTCTCTCTCTCTCTCTGTCCCCTCTCTCCTCTTCTTTCTCACTAACCAACAATAACAAAATCCCCCCTCCCCCCTCCCATCCTCCCTCCTTCCCCCCGTCTCCCACCTTGCCGAGCGTGACCAGCTGTTTCAGAAGGAAATTGGCGCTCTCTGTCTTCCCGGCGCCCGACTCCCCCGATATAACGATGCACTGCTGTTGCTTCTGGTGCAGCATGGTGTGGTAGCTGTTGTCGGCCATGGCGAAGATGTGGGGCGGGTTCTCGCTCTTGCCCATCCCGCGGTGCATTCGGGATTCCTGGTGTGGGTTGTAGGGGTTGTATTAAGCGGGGTTGTGAGGAGTTGGGATGGGTAGGGTGGGGGTGTTATAAAGGGGTTGGTGTGTTTGGTTATATTTTCATTTTTTTCGGTTTTGTCTTTTTTGATGTGCGTGTGTGTGGATGTGTTCATTTGTGTGTCTGTTTGTTTTGTCTGTATGTCTGTTTGTTAGTCTGTCTATTTGTGTGTATGTGTATCTGTGTTTGTTTGTCTGTTTGCTTGTATGTCTGTCTATTTATCTATCTATCAATCTATCTATATACATACTCATGCGCACAGAGACATGTGTATACGTGTTTCTGTCTTTCATACTGCCTCTTCAATTATCAACTTTTAATATTATTCATATTAGTACTTTAATAATAATTTTCATGTATAAACTTATCTCGCTCTCCCTGTATATCTTATCTGCTCTTTCTCTCCCTTCTCACCCACTTACCTTCTCCTTCCCCTCCCTTACCCCCTCTCCCTATTACTCACCCCTCCTCCCCACATATCCTCCTCCACTTACCCCTTCCCCCCTCTCACTCTCCCTCTCTCCTCTCCCACTTACCTATTCTCTCTCTCTCTCCCTCTCCCCTTCCCCCCCCTTCCCCTTCTCCCTCCTTTCCTCCCCCCCAATTTACCCACTTTCCCTCTTTTACTCCCTTTACCCTCCTTCCTTCTCCCTTTCCCTTCCCATCTCCTTTCCCTCACCCAACCTCTCATAACCCCTTCTTCCCTCTCCTCTTACCCCCACCCCCACTCAAACTCTCCTTCCTTCTCACCCCTCCCACTCCTTCCCCTCATCCCTCCTCACATCACCCCTCTTTCCTCCCTCCCCTTTCCTCCAGTCTCCTTGAATGGGTTGACGGCGATGTGGATATTCCCTCCCCTCCCACTTCCCTTTTCGACTTACCCACTTCCCCCTCTTTACCCCATTCATCCCCTTCCTTCTCCCTCTCCATTCATATCTCCCCATCCCTCCCCCTTCTCCCTTTCCCCTCCCTCCCTCTCTCTCCCTCCTTCTCTCCCCTCTCCTCCCACCTCCTTCCCTTCTCCTCCTCTACTTACCCTCCCTCCCCACCCCTCTCTCCTTCCCCCTCCTCACCACCCAACCTCCCCACCCCTCTCCCCATACCCTTCCCAATTACCCTTTCCCCCTCTCCTCCCTCCTCCTTCCTTCCCTCTCCTCCCTCCTTCATCCTTCCCCTCCCTCATCCTATCTTCCTCTCCACCTCTACCCTTCCCCCTCCCTCCTCCTTCCCTCCCTCCTCCTTCCTTCCTCTCCCATCTCCTTCCTTCCCCTCTCCCTCTTCTCCCTCTCCCCTCCTCCTTCTTTTTCCCTCCACCCTCTACCCTTCCCCTCCACCCCCCCCCTCCCAATTACCCTCCCCCCTTCCCACTCACCTTCTCTCCATACACTCCGATCTCCTTGAATGGGTTGACCGCTATGAGGATGTCGCCCATGTAGGTGTAGATCTGGTTGGTGTCGTACCGCCGGCCGAGGTGGTCCACGATGATATCCTGGGGGGGAAAGGAGGGGAGAAGGTGAGGTGGTGAAGTGGTGGTGGTGAGGTGGTGGTGAAGTGGTGGTGATGAGGGGTATTGGTGGTGAGGAGGTGAGGTGCAGTTGTGGTGATTTGTTTGGTATTGGTATTAATGGTGGTTCGTGGTGAGTAGATATGAATGACAGATGATAGTGAGTTGGTATTGGTGGTGACTGATGCTGATTTGGTAATGAAGATGATTGATGACAATGGCAATTAAATTTTCCTGGTGATGATTAAAGATAATTAGTACAACATCAATTCACTAATGATTAATAACACACTTTGAGGATTCTCCAGACATTCTAAACCTACTTGAACTTTTAACGCACAAACACAACACTTATACAGCACCTATTCACCCAATCCTACAGGATCTATAGCACCTATTACAACATACACCCAATCCTACAGAATTACCCACCCACTCACACACCTAATCCTACAGGACCACCTACCATCCACCTTCGAGAGCTCCTCCTACAGGACCTTCACCCACCACCCACCTCCTACCCAATCCTACAGGACCACCCGCTACCCAGCACCCACCTTCGAGAATTCCTCCTACAGGGCCTCCTCACACCTCCTAGACCCCCTCAACCCCCCTCCCCTTCCCAATCCCCCACCCTACCTCCCTCACTCCACCCCCTCCCACCCTACCTCCCCACCCCTCCCCCTTCACCCCACACCCCCCCCCAACCACCTCCGAGAGCTTCTCCAGACTGGCCAGGTCATCCATCCATATGGGCGTCCTCTTGGTCTTCCTGTCAGCCTTCAACGCCCCTCCCTTGATCGTGGCTTCGGGGTCCTTCTGCACCAGCTGGTTCTTGATCCTGAGGTCGTCCTGCAGTTGGCAGAGCTGGCGGCGGATCTGGTGGATGTGGAGGTGGATGAGTAGATTGGGATTAGTGGATTTGAAGTAGGATTAGTGGATGTAGGGTAGATGAGGGGATCTGGAGGTGTATTAGTGGATGTGGGGTAGATGAGTGGATTGAGATTAGTGGATTTAGAGGTGGATGACTGGATTGGATTAGTGGATTTTTAGAGGTGGATGACTGGATTGGGAGTAGTAGATTTGGGGTGGATTAGTGGATTAGTGGATTAGTGGATTTGGAGGTGGATTAGTGGGTTGAATCAGTGGATTAGTAGGTGGGGAGTGGGTTGGAGTAGTGGATTAGAGGATTGGATTAGTGGATGGGTTAGGTGGATTAGTGGATTGGATTTGTGGATGGTAGATATGGGGTGGATTAGTGGATGGAGGGAGTGGATAGAAAAAAAGTGGATTGTATTTGTAGATTAGTGGATGGGGGAGTGGATTGCATGGGTGGATTAGTGGAGTGGATTAGTGGATGAGGGAGTGGATGGGGGTTGATGGATGGTTTCTGTTGGTTATTTTTTGTATATTTAAGTTACCAATCTTCTTTTCTTCCTTGATGTTAAAAAATCAGCGTGTAAAAGAGATATTCACGCATTTTCACTCTCTCTCTCGCTCTCTTTCTCTCTCTCTCGCTCTCTCCTCTCTCGCTCTCTCACTCGCTCTCCTCTCCCTCCTCTTCCCCACTCACCTCCTCTCTCTCTACCCCTCCCTCCCCCACTATCTATCTATCAATCAGTTTATCTATCCACCCACCCATCAATCCATCCAAAAAAAACACACGCAAACTCACCTCCTCCGGGTTGTTAGGCACACTCTTGATGAAAGGATGCTGCAGCAGTTCCTTCGGCGTCGCCCTCTGTTCGAAATCCTTCACGAGGCATTCGGCCACAAAGTCGTTGAATTCCGCAGACCATTCGATAGGACGCTCGACGCTAGGTGGAGGATTTCTGGGTATCTGGAGCGTGAGGTTTTGGAGAAATTAGAAGCGGGAAGGATGAAAGAGTTAGGGCTGAGGGAGAATGAAAGAAAACGGTGGATTCCGTTTTCTGTGTGCTAGAGAGGAGGGGATACTTGAATATAAGATTACATTTAGGGCAATGCTGTGTTTATCGCGTGTTTGTGTAGCTTTGGGAAGACTATGAAGTGCAATTAGAGAAAAAAAACTCGATATCTGGACATGAGGTTTGGTGAATTTAGAAACAAGAAGAAAGAGATGGGATAGAGGGAGAAGGGAAGAAAATGGTGGGTTGTGTAGTGGAAGGGGGAAACTTGAATATATAATGACTTTAGGGCAATGGTTTGTTTTTCGTATGTTTGTGCCAGTTAGAAAAGGAACAGTATGATTAAAGAAAAAATAAAGTTCGATATCTGGACGCGAAGTTTGGAGAAATCAAAACAGGAAGAAAGAGTTGGGAAGGAGAGAGAAGGAAAGAAAATTGAGGATTTCGTTTTTTTGTGTGTGTGGTGGATGGGGGAGGTTGGATACTTGAATACATAATCATTTTAGGATAATGGTGTGCTTTTTGTGTGTTTGTGTCGATTAGAACAGTAATTAGAGTATGATTTGAGAAAAAGATAAGGTTTGATGTTTACATTTCAAGGCAAAATTAAGTACAAAATAAATATATATACAGCGTGTAATCTACGAGAGATTGTACAGGCTAATCATTCGAAACATCATATGAATTAAAATGACTAAATTCATCTCGAGGGATAAGAACTACTCATTACTTAGGAAAATCATACTACAATCTACCCATCCCCAAAAGGCACTTGAAAACCACAAGAAGCAAACGCGTAAAAATCCACTTGAAGATAACATTTTACAAACTACTTTAAGAAAACATTTTGAAAAACACTTGAAAAATCACTTGAAGAACTTTTGTAAAAAGCACATGAAAACACACACACACACACACACACACACACACACACCACACACACACACACACACACCAACCACACAACACACACACACACACACATATATATATATATATATATATATATATATATATATATATATATATATATATATAAAAGCCACTTAATAAGCAATTTGTAAAAAGCTACCATCTAATCTACTTTACAAGCCCAACCCACTCCTAAGCCTACTTCCCAAGCCCAACCCACTTCCGAAGCCACTTCAGACTCCACCACCGACTGACCTGGAAGAGCGCCCTCATCGGGTGGACGTCAGAGAGGGGTGGCTCTCCGTCGGCGAGTTCGATGGCGGTGATGCCCAGGGACCAGACATCGCAGCGGACGTCGTAGCTGTAGTCCAGTTGCTGTTCACACGCGATGACCTGGTTGGGTGGGAAGGTGGGAAGGGGGGGGGGGAGAAAGAGGGGGATGTTGGGTTTAGTGGGGGAAGGGATGAGAAGGAAGGGGGGGTTATGTTATATTATTATTTATTATTTATTTATTTTTATTTTAGGAAGGGGGTCTATTTTTTCTTGGTTGTTTTTGCGATTTTTTTTTTGTCTTTTAATTTATGTGAATATTTCATCTCTCTCTCTTTATTTCTATTTGTGTCTGTTTCTCTCTCTCTCTCTCTCTCTCTCTCTTATATATATATATATATATCTATATATATATATATATATATATATATATATATATATATATATATATATATATATATATATATATATAAATTTCTCTTTCTCTCCCTCCTCTCTCTCTCTTTCTCTCTCTCTCTCCTCTCTCCCTCCCTCCCTGACCTTCTTTCTCTCTCCCTCTCACCCTTCCCCCTCTCTCTCTTTCTTTCCAGTCCTTCTACTCCTCCCTTCCTTTCCCTTCCATACCCAACCAAACCGCCCCTCTCACCTCAGGGGCCATCCAGTAGGGCGTTCCGACGGAGGTGTTGCGTCTGCCCCACGTGGAGGACAGGTGGGAACTGACGCCGAAGTCGATGATCTTGATGGCGCCTTGGTCGGTCAGGAGGATGTTGTGGCCCTTGATGTCTCGGTGCATGCAGTGGTTCTGGTGCAGGTACGCCATGGCCTGCGGAGGGGGGGGGTTAGGTCAGGTCACGGCTAGGAAGGCAGCTGTTCATTCATTTGGGGTATATATATCTATATATATCTATATAATTATATCTATATATGTGTATATGTATATATATGTATATATACATATATATGTATATATATGTATATATGTATATGTATATATATGTATATATATATATATACATATATACGTATTTGTGTGTTAGTGTGTGTGTGTGTGTGTGTGTGTGTGTGTGTGTGTGTGTGTGTGTGTGTGTGTGTGTGTGTGTGTGTGTGTGTGTGTGTGTGCACGCGCGAACGTGTATGTATGTACGTATGTCTGTGCGTTTCTCTGTACATATTCACGCACGTATATCCATACGCCCACGTGCACACATTTAATAATCACGTGTCTATCAGCGCACGCACGTATAAATACCCGAGCCCCCCAAATGCAGCAAATCATTTTAACCCAAGACGCGCCACAGAGGTCAGGCGACCGACGTCAGCACCGGGCTTATGTCGAGGTTTCTGTAAGGTTTCCGACTCGCTGCTTCCTTGTCGGTAAATCCCTCTCGGTGTGTGCACGTTTCTCGCTTCGAAAGGGACTCAGGCCGTTGACATCGTTGGGTAGTTTGGCTGCTGATTGCGACTAGTTTCGCTGTTTTATTTTTGGGTAGGGATGTTGACTGTTCATTGTGTATGGACTTTATGAAGTTTGTTGAGTTTATGGGACGTTAATTATTAATGTTAATTATTATTAATTATTAAGTTTCTAGAATGGTAACTGTAAAGTTGTTTAAGTCATGTGGAACGTTAATTGTAATGTTTATTAGGGTTATGGAACGGTAATTGTAAAGTTAATCAAGTTTATGGAACGTTAAAAGTTTATTAAGTTTGTGGAATATTGATTATAAAAATTATCCATTACACTGACTGTTAGTATTCAAGCTTGTCTACTTTTCTGACTCACTAGTGAAGTTTATCCTTTGACTATAAGTAGCAAAGTTTATCCAGTACTCCGACTTGTAAATAGTTTATCTAGTGTACCGACTGTTAATAGTATTGTCAGCAGTAAAGATAATCTGACAGCCATTCTGATGTGAAATGGATCTGGAATTTTGAGTAAAGTGGAGTACATTAGATTTTGAAAAATATATATAGTAAAGAAAAACTGTCATTTCACAATGATGATATATTATTTCTTGTCCTTAGTTGAGGTAATGGAGTCTATGCTCCGGAAAAGAGAAAACTTTTTATTCAATAAATGTAATTAGGTACTGATGGTATATAACTTATGCATTGCTTCATAATCATCTTAGATTATCTTTTTCTGTTTTTTTCCTTTTATTTTTAATTTTTAACTTATATCTCTTACTGACGAAGCACAAATACTTGCATAAAAATAAACGAGCGAATGCATTTGTACACACACACACACACACACACATATATATGTGTGCGTACGTGAGTGATGTGTATGTGTGTGTGTGTGTGTTGTGTGCGTGTGTGTGGTGTGTGTGTGTGTGTGTGTGTGTGTGTGTGTGTGTGTGTGTGTGTGTGTGTGTGTGTGTGTGTGTGTGTGTGTGTGTGTGTGTGTGTGTGTGTGTGTGTGTGTGTGTGTGTGTGTGTGTCTGCGTGCGTGCGTGTGAACACATACGTACATAACTACAAAACAACACAATAACTGAACCAATTCTCTCTCAAAAGAAGAACCACATATTTCCAACCGCTTTCCCCCCCCATCCCCCCGCCCCTCCCTCCCTCCCCCCAAGCCTTGTACAGCTTGCTAATCTCGCGAGCAGCACTTACATCAATGGTTTCCTTGAGGATGTAACCAAGCTGTGGCTCCGTCAGTCTTTGACCTCGTCTAATGAGTGCTTGAACGAGGTCTGTCACTGAACCTCTTGGGCAAAGCTGAAAGGAAAATTAACATTATATTAGTACTTTTACTGCTGTTAAATAATAGGTAAATAAATGAGTTAGACTTGTTGATAATAATGGTAGTGATGATGGGTATTGATAGGACTAAGCTGGGCGGGAGATGAATATGAGTATATCAATAACTTATCTGTATCTACATCTATATCTATATCTAAATAGGTTTAGACGTAAGAATTCACATGGTTATATTAGGGGTTTTACTCCCGTTGCTCATTATGACAGTAATAGTAATGAATAATATAATATGATATAATAGTAATAGTCACTGATAGTAACGGAACTCTAAGACAAAGCTGGATGGAAATTAACATGATAATTATAATAGGACTTTTATTGTTATGTTAGAGTTGCTCTTGATAATAATGATAGTGATAATGATAATGATGGGGAAAAGATGGAAGGCAAATTAATATGATGGTTATATCAGCAACATATCTGTATCTACATATATCTTTATTTATGTATAGCTGGGAGGAGAATCATTCTGATTATATTGGGAGTTTTGCTGTTGTTAATAATATCAATACGGACTTTTATTGCTGTGTCAGACTTGCTGTTGATAATAATGAGAGTAATAATGATAATTAATGATAGTGACAGGACAAAGCTGGAAGGCAAAACAATATATATCTGTATCTACATGTCTGTTTATGTTTAGCTGGGAGGAGAATTATCATGATTTGCTAATGTTGCTAATAATAACATTACGGTTTCAGTTATAAAGGCACTGTAGGGAAAAGCTGGAAGGAAAATTGACATGATGATTATAATATAACTTTTAATACTGTTGATAATAGTGATAATGATAATGATAATGATAGGACAAAGCCAGAAGGAAGAATTAACATGATAATTATATTATAACTTTTAGTGTAGTTGATAATGATGATAGTGATATTGATAATGATGGGACAAAGTTTGAAGGAAATTGATATGATGATTATGATATGACTTTATTGTTGTTGATGATAATGATAGCGCAGTGTCAGTGATAATAATGGTATTGATGGTAATGGTAGCAGTGGGAAAAGCTTGAGAGATGATAAGAATAAAGATGGTGCTAGTAACAATGCCAACAGCAATAACATGGTATGAAAATAATAACGAAAATAAAAGCAAGGAAAGCTAAATGGTAATGGAAATCTTTGAAATAATAATGGTGGCAACAGCAACAACAATAATAATAATTTGATGATAACAATAGTAATAACAATAATAATAATAATGATCGTAATAACAATGATAATAATAATAAAGATAATAACAATGATAACGATAATAATATAAATGATACTGATGATAATTATATCAACAACAACAAAAACGACAACAACAAT